GGATGGCGAACGGGAATGCGCCGCGGGTGAGCTCACGCGATGAGTTTGGGCGGTGGATGTGTGAGGCGCATAATGCCGTGAACGTGAAGCTGGGGAAGAGCGTGTTTGATTGTGGGAGATGGGAGGAGAGGTGGCGGACTGGGTGGAAGGATGGACGATGCGACTTCTAAGAGAGTATTAGGAACGCATGTATGATACTTGTATATGGGAAGAGATATGCATAGCGGGCTTTCGCACTACATTGGGTTGCATACGGCATTGGGCGGCGTTAGGAATTCATCTCAACTTCGGCAAAGGAACCTCCAATCAAGAGTGTATTACATCCCAATACGCAGCACGTCTTCACATGAACACCTACTATGATCCCTTAAAGGTTAGATGCTACAGCTCCAAGCGTTACCAATTAGTTGGACCTGTGAGGACGGACAAAACTACTCCTGCATCTTGTCGCTACCACTGACATTTGACACAGCTGACCTCACCATCGGCATCTTATCGTCACCACTCCAGCTTCCACATCTATAATACCCTCAATGCCACCCCTCCCCACCCCCCTCTACCGCCACCGCCACCGCCACCACAATGTCCCCCTCCGACATTCACCTAAACCGCGAATCCACCATCGCCCTCGGCATCCTCCTTCCCCTTATCTTGATCGCCATCTCCTGCTTCGCCGCCTCCCGCATCCGGGCGCACAAAACCGCCCTTCGCGACGCAGAAGCCCACCGCCTCTCTGCGTCCGCCAACCGTCGGCTCTCACCAAGTACAGTTGGAAGGCAACCGACGACCGGGATCACGGGGTACCGCGTCTTCAAAGTTGATCGGGACGTCTCGAGGGTGGACTGGACAGGCAGGGAGCACGAGGCGGGGTGGAGGGCCGGGACCGAGCCGACGATGCCGAGGTATGAGGAGGGGAGAGATGAGGGGTGAGAAGGTTGACCGGATAGTGGACTTTCTTACGTTGCGGATTTTGATTTTAATAACACAGTTGGCAAAGGTCTGCACGGGGCGTTCTGTCACGAAGCTTCGGCAATATATGACTGTTGGGATGCTTGATTCATTTTGTAATAAAACCGGGTACTTGCTTTCCACCCAGTGCTCTCAAGGCTAGCTAGACATGTCATGTTTCCTGGAATCCGGGAAGACCGATCCCGCACATGCTCATTAGTCTGCATAAAAGCTCAGGCCTGCTCACCGCTCAGATGGCCGTATATTCGTCGTTATCCAAGACCTGTCTATCCAAGCGCCCACATATGCTTGAAGCAAAGTAAGGTGTTGCCGCTACGGCATGCTGGAAAGGGATTATCGCATGATTTCCTGGAAGATGAGGACTAGGTGAAGTTAGTATACACATATTGATCGCAGGGATTTGGGGGCATACGCTTCAATTGCTCCTTAGTGAGATTGTCCTTGTTCTTGTCAAAGTCGAAGAACTCCTCTGGAATGGGGTCCGCAGTAGGCTCGTCATCCGGATCGTGGTACGGCTCTAGGTATGGGTGCTTCAGGGCGTCTTCCACTGTGATACGCTTGACGGGGTTGAACGCGAGCAAACGCTCCAAAAGGTCCAGAGCAAGGTCGGAGGTCTTGGGGAACATGGCCTTCCACGGAATCTTCTTCTTGAAGGGAAGCGACCGGATGTACTCGCGAGCACGGCGAGACTTGATGCCGTAGTAATCTTCCATAGTCGGCGTACCCAGAACATCGAGGATGAGGGTAAGCTGGTGGTGATCTGCGATCATGGGTCAGTTGGTCGTTCTGATGCTGTGGGCGATGCTACTAACAATCCTTTCCTGGGAACAACGGCTTGCCGCTCAACATCTCGGCCAGAATGCAGCCCACACTCCATACGTCAATGGCCTTGGTGTACTCCTTGAACGTAAGCATGATCTCCGGGGCTCGGTACCAACGCGTAGCAACGTATTCTGTCATGAAGCCCGAGTTGTCTTCGGTCGAGGCGGCAGATCGTGCGAGACCAAAATCGCAGACCTTGAGATCGCAATTGGCATTGAGCAACAGGTTGGAAGGCTTAAGATCACGATGCAACACATTGGCCGAGTGCATTGCCTTGAGAGCACGCAGCGTTTGGTAGATGAAATATTGGCAGTGATCGTCGGAAAGCTCCTGCGTACGAATGACACGGTGCATGTCCGTCTCCATGAGTTCCTGCGCTTTGTTAATATGTGGTTCTGCCTTGAGAGCAGAGCTCACGTACCTGAATCAGATAGACCTCGGTGAAAGTCTCGTAATTCCTCGGCTTCTGAATGTCGAGAATGGAGATGATGTTCTCGTGGTTGAAATACCTCAGGAGCTTCATCTCTCGCAGCGTTCTCAGACAGAACATGGAATGATCGAATGGTGTGATCTTCTTGATGGCGACCTTCTGGCCTGACGGCTTGTGTAGCGCAGAGCTGTACGAAGGTCAGGAACCGTTGTGACGATTGACAGGCTGGCTGGCAGAGCTTACCAGACGACTCCATATGCTCCCTCGCCAACCACATCTTGGATATCGTACTGCTCCGACACGTTAAAGGAGATTTTGCGCGAGCTGCCGGTTCCTCCGGTTGCGCGAGACATTGCGGCGGTTTGTGGGGCGATTGCGCGGGTGCGCGAGGCGGGTCTCGGGATGAGCTGCTGCCCGCTTTGTAAGACGCTGAACGACGAGCCGCGCAGTCGTCAATGGAGGACTATCGCTACGATGACAGCCTGGATCTGCGAGAAAAGCTGTCAGCGAACTGTTCCATTGTTTGTTGGGGGGAAACCATGAAGGCGTGTTGTTCTCGATCAGGAAGGCGTCACCGGCCAATGGTTCGCCCTTTGGGCCGTGGTTGAAGGGGAACTCGCTCATGGTGCAGTACACAGTAAGCTCGGACCCCGCTTGCCTGTTGGCGTGGAGCAGGTGGGGGGTGAATTGAACGCTCCCATGACGGCGCACGCACAAGGCGCATGAAGGTTCGCAGGGCTCACGGCTCACTGTGCATGTCTGCGAGGCCACAGGTGCTCGAGAAAGGAAGCAGAAAAGCACATACCGACTCGAAGATGTCGCAGCCGCAGAGGGTCTGGCGTGCCGTCTGGTGGGTAGACGGCCGCTCCTTCTGCGATGCGGCGTGTGCAAGGCGGACGTTCCTGCTCGAAGACGGCTGGGTTGTCGGGACGAGGCGGCGGCGTAGGAGAAAGAGGAGGGGGGAGTGTGCGAGTAGCGGGGCGGCTGGAGGAATACGATTTACGGCGGCGGGGCCTGTCAAGCCTGGAAGGTACGCGATGTGAACTGGTTGCCAAGTCAGCCTTGCCCAGCGTCAACGTGCGCAAGGCAGGAACGGCAGCGACCAGGGCAGGCGCGAGTGAATGGGAGGCGGGGGCGGAGGCGGAGGCGGAGGCGCAACGTACTTTGTTTGTGTTGCGGTGTCGCGGGCGTTCGCCAGGAGAACAGAACAGAACAGAACAGAACAGAACAGAACAGAACAGAACAGAACAGGAGAAGGGTTCAGCTATCGCGTGGGGCGGGTGCGCTGGGTACTACGTTTACTACGGTAGGCTCTAGCAGTGGTGCCGTGGCGGGATGGCGGGGGGCTCTCTGCAGCTGGGTCCTGAAGCGGCAACGACAACAAGATGCAAGTTCGCAGTTGGTAGTTAGCACACGGTCGGAATGTGGATGGGTAGAATGGACGCAGGGAGCCTGCGACTGCGACTGCGACCGCTCGCTGCATTATAACGCCCGCCCGAGCCTGCCCAGTGCCCAAAGGTGCAGCACTGGACCATGGCTAGCCCACTTCCCACTGCAACGCCCGCACGAGCGAGAAGGGAGCAGCCGCTAGCCGATGCTGGGCCCTCATTGGCTTGTCGCCCTGTGCCTGTCTCACACTCTCTCACACTCCCTCACACTCCCTCACACTCCCTCACACTCCCCATAGGACACCCGCTATTCATCGTCAATCACCCCAGGCCCAGTCTTGTGGTTTGTTTTCGCACCTCTGCCCTCGCACGCCCAACCTGCACCGCCCCATCTACCTCCCCCACCATTGGGCCTGCGTCGCGCCCTACTCTGCGACCGCTGGTGCCGCTCCGTCCGCCTTTGGGGCTCTCCCTTCCGCATTCCAAATCACACGCCCAAGCTTCGTAGGGCAGCATCTGAAACTTGCCTCGCGTTTCCGCGAACCATCCTGCACGGGCTAAGTTGCATCTCTGCGGCGCCTGTACCTAGCGTCTCTACGTCTCAGACTGCCCTGTCCATGCGGCTGCCTACACTCCCGAGACCATTGGACAGCACGCCTCCAACTCATATTTCTACCCTCCAGTGCCGCCCCGTCGTAGCCGCTTGAGCGGCCCCTTCTCGATGAGGAGGCTCCACCTGCCAGTGTGGACATGACGTCCCGCTCTCTGGCGTCCAGAGTCCACGTTTGATCTCCATTGAGCCAACCCTCTCGAACTGTTTCAAACAGCCAGCCGAACACCATCCCTGCCGCGTTCGGGCTCCCATGAGTTATGAATAACCTCACGCATGACTCTTGCTTTGTCTCTCCCGTCACCTTTATCCATACTATCGAGACTCCTAAATCCGATCTAGTCTCCCTGATACTGACTAAGGTGTGTATCACTGGCAGCTTACAAACATTACTCTTCTGCTTTTCAGGCACCTCGACATTGCCACCAACATTCGCAATCGATGAACAAACGGGAACATCAACCATACGTGCAGGGTATTCTTACTCATTTGGGAGCATATTCGATACCTCGTCGCCGCGCACCAGGGCAACATAACTATTTTTGCTACGCTATGTGCCAGATACGGATTACTGTAATCAAGGTTTCCGTTTCTGCACACCACTCGCTTTCTTTATTTGAGCCTGTGCTCTGCAATGTTTGTAACCTTTCAAGTCAAAATTCGGATCTAGGTTGAAGCCAGTAGATGTGGCCTTCGCTTGCGTGCAGCAAAAAGCAAGACAACTGCACACGTCTCGTCACGTTCTCAAAGAGACCAAAAAGCCAAAAAGAGATGGTAGGAAAGCGGTGAACCAGGTTTGAACTGGTGACCTTCAGGAACCACGAGTATGAGTACTGCAGCCCGCTGCTCTACCACTGAGCTATCACCGCAGGAGACGTGCTTCCCTGGTTACGCTAATCTGTTAAATCATTCATATACCACGTAGAAAAGCTGGAACTCTCCTAAATTCACGCCTGAACATGCTGGCATTGTACAAATTACATGTTCCCATCGTGCGATGGTGCAATATGACGTTTGATGCCCCGCAGTGAGCAAAGGACCAGTGACCACACAGTGCTCACATTGACAACCAGTATATGCATTCCCACTCGAACTGCGCACGAAAGAACATGTACAAGTTTGACATGCCACCTAAAAGTGCGTGAGAATACTAAGACTAGCCGCTTTTTTGGTCCCCCTTTGTTCGTGCATTGGCAAAGCACAACGCGCCTTTTTGTCCCCCTTGCTTCATTGGTTTACCCGCCCTCATAGTGATTGTATACAATATATACTAAGACTATCATAGCCCTCGATTGAACCTGGTAGTACAGCAAACGATCCGAGCCTAGTAGGTTTGGATAGGTGCGTCCCATCATTACTGCCCACAACTACGGACACCACTGGTCAGGTTGACGCACACTTCACTCTGTACTTGTCTTTGCCTGTCCAGAGGCAGGCAACTGCAAGTCTTGACCGAGGTCAGATCACTGGGGGACAGGAGGCTACTATTCCAACCAAACCACGTCTGGCTTTGGACGTACTCGCACGACACGCACACCCCGACTCAAAAAGCAAAAGAACATGTCCATCATAAGTGTGCAAACGGCGAACGCTATCAAAACATCGAGGCCGGCCGTCTTCAGCCAATGCAAACCTCTCCTCATGCACCATGTATGCAGTCGTATCCCATCGTATACCAGATACCCGGTCTCCCCAAACACACCCCATCCACCTCTGTCCTTGGTCCCCGTACCAGCGGGTCCCACACTCATTTGTTCAAACTCCTCCTCTATCCTATCCTGTCCATGTCCACTCCTGTTGGACCACGTCCCACCCCCGCCTACTCACATCGGCCCCTTGGGCGGGTATTGTTGTCCGCCCCTCGCAACCTGGGGCCCACAAGTGCACCTACACGCGACCTCTCAGCAAAGGTCCGCTGTATGCAAGCTAGGCAGATATACCATTCTTCCTGCGGCACGTTGTCCATGACGCCGGCGACGTGGTTGCCGCAGCCCCACCAGGTGGTTTTGTCTGTGGGGAGGGTTAGATGGGTGAGGTTGATGGGTGGCGGGAGAGGGCTTACGGCAGGTTTCGCAGGTGGATTTGCGGCACATGGTTCGGTGTTGATTGTGTTGGATGTATATGTGAGTACTTGGGCCGGCGGCAGGTCTCGATGTTGGCGAGTTCGATATTCGGTTCGATTCGAGGTGGATGGATGGTTCGTCTCCAAGTAGCCTGGGTATGCGTGCGAATTCACGATAGCACAGAGAGAGAGAGTCAGAGGATGGGTGGTTTTCAGCTTGCGGCGGGAGTCGTGAACGCAGCGGGGGTTTTAATATTTGCTACCTACTGTACGCCGCCGAATCTCCATATATAACACTGGCCCCTCCATCGCGTGTGGTCTGCAATTTGGCAGTGCGTATTACTGACGGTGCGGTTGCGGTGTGCCCACCTCCACGAGGTCGCCGACGTCCACCTCGCCGACGCGATCCAGCACACGGACACGAGCCCCCAACGCACCACCGCCCCCCTACTGGCCCACCGCCCCAAACCATGCGAACCACGCGGTCACTCCCGCGCATGTTAGCGCGAGGGTGCGAGAGGATGCGCGGTTTCAAAGTCAGGCCTGTGCCGTCCGAGCTTGCTGAGGCGCGCGTGTCGTCGGCGAGGCAAGAGTTGGACTGTAAGAGTGGGCTAGGTAAGCAGGTGAGGGGCGGGGGACCTCCGTACCATAGGCTACTCGTAGTTTTGCATTGTGGGCATTGTGGGCATTGTGGGCATTGTGGGCATTGTGTGAAGCATGCTAACTACCATGGGCAACCTCAGGGTCCATGGCTCCACCTATCCCCCCGTACCGGCAATTCCTGCCTGTGCTATGTGGCGCCTACACCGGTACTCGGTTTGGCTATCGGACGTAGACCTGCATGCGTGTTGGATGACATTCTGTCGTCGCCGACCTTCTCTCGCCCCTCTGACAGCAATCAGCAATCCTTCCTTCCTATCGGCGTCTGCACGCTGCAATCCACCATATACACCCTGGTATCGCGGAGCCGCCGAGGAAGGATTTGACGGGCTTCCACGCCGCCTCGAAGCCTGCCGATTGCTAACGTAGTGCATTTGTCCCCTCATATACCACGCACATGGTCGCCGAGCTTGTACGCTAGGCCCCCCGTATTCGACGGGTTGTTACCCAAAGGAGGAAAATCTGAACCACTCAGGCGGTGTGTCTGCCGTGTGGGTTTGGAGGCACCCGTGCGAACCGCGAGGGACAAATACTCGGACGACTATGATGGAGGTGGCGGACGATGGCTCAAATAGCCGCGTTTCGCGTTGGTTGGACGCAATTTGTTCCAAATTTGGGGCAACTGGTAGTCGATGCCACGTGTGCTTGTTTTGACAACAGAGCGTTTTTTTTTTTTGGCAAGATCTGAGGTCATTCTGTTAGGACTCGCAATAGATAGGGAGCACAGACAGATAAAACCCGGGTTGCATGGACAAAGTTCGTGCCATAAAGAAGGACTGCTACCAGCCTTACCATACATTAAGATTTTTACAAGTCGGGACTTGAAAGAGCAGTCCCGAGTCCCCATGAGTTCGGTTTGAGACTCTAGCTAAAGGTCAAATATACACAATGCGGGTCACGGTTTTGCATAACTCGGCGAGAAGGCATATATTCGAATACGATAGTCAGACACGTCTATGCATGGCTGTGCTTCTACCTACTCGCTGGAGAGTCGAGATCCTGTCCCACAAAACAGACTTTTTAATGCACGCCGGCCGCCGCTCGCTTCGATGGACATACTTTCTGCGAGAACATCGCCGACCTCGCAGGATTGTTGTCCTACGGGAACTGGACCGAAACGTAGGGGCCGTGCTTTCGTCCGGATGAATTCTGCCAGAGACTGTCGAATGTGAAAGGTTTGCAACTCGGAGATTTCATCGTGTATCTTTGGGCCGCTGGGGCCAGCATGAGACTCCAAAGTTTTAGGCTGATGTTGTATCACTGACGACCGAGGCCCATGGTTTAGAAACTGCTGTCTGCAGCTGAGAAGGAAGGACGTGTACGTGGAAGGGAATCTTGCATTGCATGACCCAGAAAGATGGTAGCATTTCGAATCGGATCGCTCGTCTATATACCGCATCTACTCCGCGAGCAATGCCGAGAACCCAAACAGCAGACTTTTTGATGCATTGACGCCGAACGCCGCTCACCCCGACAGGCAATCTACCTGCGGAGACCTCGCCGACCATGTGTTCCAGGATATCGCACACTAGTCGAAAGATATCTTGGTTGCTTTCTTGGTCATGTCTACATCCTTGTAGAAAGCTCCGTAAGCACCGTGCTCCTTCTTCTTCACGGTCGTGCCGAACTTCAGGAGCTCTTCGGGCACGGCCTGGTTGGCAGCCTTCAAAACGTTGATCAACCTATATTACATGTCAGAACGAAGTCCTTGAGTTAAGATGGGGTTTGAACGTACGCTCCAGATAGAGCCTTGTCGTGCTCCGTGAACAGGGTGATGGCAAGACCTTCTTTGCCGGCACGGCCAGTTCTGCCGATGCGATGCACGTAGTCCTCGGCCGTTAGAGGGAAGGTCACGTTGATCACAAGTTTGACGGCCGGGATGTCCAGACCGCGGGCGGCAACGTCGGTCGCTACCAGAAGAGGAACCGAGCCCTCTTTGAATGCCTGCAGAGAAGCACTGCGCTTATCCTGACTGAGGTCGCCGTGGATACCTCCCACTCGGAAGCCCTTCATGCGAATGAAGCTTTCAATGCGCACGGCCTCCTTCTTGTAGAGGCAGAAGACGAGGATACGATCTTCCGTATTCTTGCCTGACTGGTACTGTTTCAGCAGTTGGAGAAGACGTTGTTCCTTGCCGCGAGGGTCCACAACCTCGACCAACTGCTTGATACGCGTGTTGGCGCGGAGCTCGCCGGAGACGTTGTCGCCAATCGTGATCTTGACAGGCGCCAGCATGAAAGTAGAGGCGAGCGCACGAATGGAGGGTGGCCAAGTTGCCGTGAACATGAGCGTTTGCCGCTTCTTCGGCGTCTGGGTGATGATCTGTCTGATCGCTTCCTCGAAGCCCTTGTCGAGCATTCGGTCCGCCTCATCAAGCACAACGTACGCTGCGCTGCTTAGGTCGGCCGATCCATCTCCGATCAAATCATTCAATCGGCCGGGCGTTGCGACAACAATCGATGCAGTCTTGATTGCTCTGACCTGAGGGTCTTTTGGCACACCGCCGTATACGCAGACAACTGAGAGGCCGGCTGGCGTAGCAAGCTGCACAAGCTGATCGTGTATTTGGACGGCGAGCTCTCGAGTCGGCGATACGATGACAGCCTTGACACCCTTCTGCTGCTTTTTCGGCAGGGATGTAATGTAGCGTATGCATGGCACACCAAAGGCCAATGTCTTGCCAGAACCAGTCTCGGCAACCCCGACCATGTCTCGTCCAGACAACAGCGCGGGCCATGTAACTGCTTGTATAGGTGTAGGTGCTGCGAAAGACTTGAACGGAGCGCGCTGACCCTCGTCAGTCACCGGCAGGTAGTCGAACTTCATGATAGGACGAAGATTTTGGGATCGAGGATCTTCGACAGTGACCGCATGAGTGGTGAGGTACGAATCGATTTCCGACTGCGGGAGGGCTGCCAGGTCCTTGTTCACTTCGTACGAAAGACCGCCATTCTTGGAGATCGGTTCCGGGCTGGTCGCAGAGGATTGTGCAGTCGAGGGAATCGCAGACGAAGCGGTCGTGCTCTCACCCTCAGCTGCCTTGCTCGACTTCTTCTTTCCGGCCTTCTCTGCCTTGCGCGCAGCTTTGCGCGCGGCCTTCGCGGCGGCCTCGTCGTCCTCAGCACCGTCCACAGTGTCTTCCTGCGC